CACGTAAATATTTTACTGTCCAATCAGACAAAAGCATTTTTACACACCCAAAACATATTTCAAAGGAACAAAAAGAGAACATATGTTTTTTTTTGTTTTTGTTTTTTTTTTTTGTTTTTTTTTTGTTTTTTTTTTTTTTTTGATCGAAAAGATTTTTTTGACAAAAAATATTTAGAAGTAAGATGAAAAGTTTCGAAGAATAAGGTATTCCCCACATATTTACCGTGAACAAACCTGGCATTTTCATTTTGGAAAAGAAAAAAAATAATGCATGTAACTATGCAATGTTTTACGGAGGATTACCGGTATATCACACTGACAAGTTATTATCAAGTACAATTATAACGTTTAGCAGAACATACTCTTATGTTGAAAAATATAATTTTGCTTAGCTGTCCAATTTTCATCGATAACGCGTAGTTTCCAATGTGTATAGCTTTACTGCACACAAGTATTGATCGTATAGACTATATAGCTACATGTAGTTTTAAAATAATACGGGTTTCATGAGCACCAAATACACTTTAAATGGACAAAAGGAAAGATAAAAAACATGGAGAAAAGGAAATGTTCATGAATGCTTTTTATCACCATATCTTACATGTACCTCGCATATCAGAAACTACATGGACGATTTTGTAATAAACACTCGGGAAGTAATTAAGACTGATACATTCCCATATGAAAACTTTTTCATGTCAGGTCTAAAAACTGAAATCTGCTGTATTTATATAAAATTTCTCAACACAAGTTAAACTTTTAGGATTGCTTCCTCATAGTGAGAGATTTTTAACCCCACTTAGAATTTATATTAAACCTTCAAGTCGTGTTTATTCACGGTAGAATTGTCAAATATACTATATCATTCCTAAATGTGCTTAAAGTTTACAAAAAGTTTGTTCTAAAAAAATCTTTTGAGCAAAAAAAACTTTAAAACCACATGTTTCATTTTCTCATGGGTTTGTCTAAAGGACGTTATCTGATTGGTCAGAAGGATTGACACCTTGTTTACTCACTGTATTTATAGCAATTCACAGTTATTGTTCTTGACTTCCATATTTGGAAATCGTCCAGACCTGTTTATGTCCATGGTTTTAGCTCTTTTGAGCCAAAGGCTCAGAGAGCTAATGCTATGGCCATTTGTGAGGTGTGCGTAAACTTTTTACAATATGGGCAATAGCTCAAGAACCCCCTTGGCCAATTATTGTCAAATTTGTCACAGAGTATCCTTGGCCCAAGGGCTCCCGTTTATACTAAAAATAGGGTTATGACCCTTAAACAAGGGGAGATAATTAGGAAAATAGAAACAAAAGTACTGGTTGCTAAAAAATCTTCATCTCAAGAACCACTGGGCAGATTATCACCAAACTTATACAAAAGGATGAGGATATGTTGTAGATTAAAATTTGCATGAGGATTTACCCTGGGGCAAAGGGTGTGGTCTCAAGGTCACTTCAAAGTTGACCAAAAATTACATTTTATTCAAATGTTGATATTTTGCTCACTACAAGGACTAGGATCATCAAATCTTGTCAGTTGATGCATCTAAGGACTTCATATCATGTTGACTCAAAAGTAGGTCATGGTGACCAACTTTTTAAATTTTGTGGCCATTCTTTTTCAAAATGATTTAGAGGCATATTTTGAACAATTTAAGGCCTATGATCATCAAAGTTTGTCAGATGATGTATCTTGGATCCTCAGAGTAACTAAAAAATAGGTCACCTTGACCTACTTTCTGAATTTTATGGCTAATCTTTTTCAAAACAATTAAGGTCATTAATTAGGATACTGAGAGGTTTAGAATCATGAAATCTTGTAACATGATGCATCTTGGGGCCATAAAACATATTTATTAAATAGTAGGTCACAGTGACCTACTTTTTGAACTTTGCAGGCATTCAATTTCAAAGCGTTTTTGGAGGCATAACTTGGACATTTTAGGGTCTATGATCATAAAACTTTGTAAGTTGATGCATCTTGGGTCCTCAAAAAACGTCAATTGAAAAGTAGGTCACCGTGACCTACTTTTCAATTTATATGACTATAATTAAATATTTCAGATACTAATTGACTTTGTCAGTTGATGCATCTTCGGAGAAGGTCGACTGAAAAGTAAGTCACCCTGACCTACTTTTGAAAATATATGGCTTTGATTAAATATTTTTGGTACTAATTGGCTTACAATCATCAAACTTTGTCAGTTGATGCATCTTGTGTCCTCAGAGTACAATAACTGAAAAGTAGGTCAGTGTGACCTACTTCTGAAAATTTATGGCTTTTTAATTAAATATTTCATGTACTAATTTTCTTAGAATCATCAAACTTAGTCAGTTAATGCATCTTGGGTCCTTGGAGTACGACAACTGAAAAGTAGGTCACCCTGACCTACTTTAAAAAATTTTATGGCTGTATTTAATATTTTTTATGGTACTATTTGGCTTAGAATTATCAAAATATGTCAGTTGATAGATCTTCTGTCCTAGCAGCAGGTCAGCTGAAAAGTAGGTCACCGTGACCTACTTTTCAATTTATATGACTATAATTAAATATTTCAGGAATTGGCTTAGAATCATCAAACTTTATCAGTTCATGAATCTTGGGTCTTTGGAGAAGGTCGACTGAAAAGTAGGTCACCATGACCTACTTTTGAGATTTTATGGCTGTATTTAATATTTTCTTCTGGTACTGTTTGGCTTGGAATCATCAAAATTTGTCAGTTGATATATCTTGGGTCCTTGCAGTAGGTCGACTGAAAAGTAGGTCACCATGACCTACTTTCAATTTATATGACTATAATTAAATATTTCAGGTACTTATTGGCTAGGAATCATCAAACTGTGTCAGTTGATACATTTTGGGTCTTTGGAGTAGGTCAACTGAAAGGTAGGTCACCATGACCTCTTTTGAAAATTTATGGCTTTAATTAAATATATCAGGTATAAATTGGCTTAGAATCATCAAACTTTGTCAGTTGATGCATCTTGGGTCTGCAGAGTTAATCGACTGAAAAGTAGGTCACTGCGACCTACTTCTGAAAATTTATGGCTTTTTTAAAATATATCAGGCACTGATTGGCTTAGAATTATCAAACTTTGTCAGTTGATGCATCTTGGGTCCTCAAAGTATTTGAAGTCCAAAGGTCAAGGTCACAAATTCATACATTCTGTTCGTGAGTAAAAACTTCATTTCCAAGCAATGTTTCTAGAAGCTTTTGAGCTTTTGCAATGAAATTTTATACCGTAACTCCCTATGGCCCTCCCAACCCCTTTAAAGTGTCCCCCTTTTAGATCCTTGCATGGATTTTTTTCCTTAAGTGGGGGACACATTTTCTCTGAATTAGCTTCAACTATATTTGAATTGTGTTTTATATAAAAAAAAATGTTAAAGAGATGGTATCTATCTGAACTTTATTAGAGATTTGATTAAGCATGGAATTAAGGTGGGTGACCCCTATTAAAGGGGCCTGGACATACAGTTGCATTGTGTACAATTTCAAACTTGGTACACTGCTTTCCTCTATGAAGTAGATGACCCCTGTTAATTTGATGGTCAAAAGTTAAATGATATAGGAAGAATGGTCAACTTAGTCTTTGAGAACCATTTGTTTTACAGACTTCAGATTGAGTTCACTGGTAACCCTAAGAAGTAAATTATCTTTAATGATATTGAAGTCTGTTGGAGATCAATCTTAGTATAATGTTTGTCCCTCGCTGGTCGATATTCAAATTTTCTCCATATTGGAAATTTTAAGTTGTTTTGATATATCTACATGGAGGTGGGGTGGAGATCTATGTTTCTCAAGCAATTTTTAGCTCACCTTGACAAAGTCAAAATGAGCTTATGCTATACCCCCGGCGTTGGCGTTGGCGTCACGGTTAAAGTTTTAGGAGCAAGTCCTTCCCAAGTAACTATAAGCCCTACCTGGACCAAACTTGCATGGATGATGCATCAAGGGATGGACACTACCACACTTGCTTCGAATGCTGGATCTGACCTAGATTTTCCAGATGAGTGACCAGGTTAAAGTTTTTGGAACAGGTCCACTCCCAAGTAACTATAAGCCCTACCTGGACCAAACTGTTAAAGTTTTAGGAGCAAGTCTTTCCCAAGTAACTATAAGCCCTACCTGGACCAAACTTCCATGGATGATGCATCAAGGGATGGACACTACCACACTTGCTTCGGATGCTGGATCTGACCTAGATTTTCCAGATGAGTGACCAGGTTAAAGTTTTTGGAGCAGGTCCATTCCCAAGTAACTATAAGCCCTACCTTGACCAAACTTTCATGGATGATGCATCTAAGGATGGACACTACCACACTTGCTTTGGATGCTGATTCTGACCTTTATTTTTTTAGATGAGTGAATTTTAGCCTAGTTTAATCAAATTAGCATGGATGATGTATCTTGGGATGGACACTTTCAGACTTGTTTTGGATTCTGAATCTCACCTACATTTTCCAGACGAGTGACCAGGTTAATGTTTTTGGAGTAGCTATATAATATTATGGCATGTTATGATTAAACTTGCATGGATGGTGCATCTAAGGATGAAAACTTCAAGACTTGCTTTGGATGTTGGAACTGACCAAAATTTTCTTAGATTAGTAAACAGGTTTTTTGAGCAGGTCTATTTCCAAGTAGCTATAAGTCCTTCTGAAATCAAACTTGATCTTGGGATGAACACTAACTAGCAAAAATATGATGTGAGATTTGCATTACTTATAGATAACCTTCGTCGAGGTGAGCTTCATAATCTTTGATTACCTATGTTTTTAAATTGCTTTATCTTTCCAGAAATTTTCCTAGTGGATTTTTTTTTTTTTTGGAATTTTTTTTTAATTGTGAAGCCCCCCCTCTATTTATTTTATTTTTTATAAACAGTGTGGTTTCTTTATCTTAAATAAAGCATTATCAAATAATTAATTGTTGCCATTTAAAAGGAGAAATATAAAAAATAATTTTCTTCTTTAATCTCCAAAATGTTGTTTTGTAGATGCCTCGCAAGAAGTACTGGAGGAAAAGCACTGCCATGAAAGAGTTACAGACTGACAGGACTGAGGAGACTGGCCTCATGAAAAACAGTAAAACAATGTCTGACCTGGACTTGACTGAGGAGACTGGCCTCATGAAAAACAGTAAAACAATGTATGACATTAGAATGACTGAGGAGACTGGCCTCGTGAAAAACAGTAAAACCAATGTAGACCCTGAGGAGCCTGCCCTCAGGTTACAAAAAAACAGGAAAACCAAAGAAAGTTGTGAAACAAATTTGTGCGATGAACTTTGTGAAAAAGATTTGCTCAATGAACTCTGGAAAAAAGATCTGCTCAATGAATCTGCTGAAATGATTTTGCAAAATAGTTTTGTTGAAAAAAGTTTAGCCAAAAAAATTTCTACTACTGAATCTTCACAGTATATGAGTGGCAATGTTGGAGATAAAACCTTACAGAATTATTACAAAGGTAATAAGGTTTGTACCAGAAAAATAGTATTTGGGTCATTCCATCAAGGGGACATTAGATTTTCAACATTCTCAAGAGGTAGTCAATGTACTTGCAATGCTCTTATCATGCTGATTAAATGTTATGAAGGATATTCATTTACTTCAGAATTGATAGACAGAATTTTGATATCAGGAGACCAAATTTATGGAAAGACTGTTAGAAGTTTGCAACAAAGTGGAAAGTTTCACAACAAACTTTTAAACTTTGATGAATTGCCAATGAATATATCACTGGGAGAGAATCATCATGTTATTCAAAAATTTGAAACTATTTGGGGATTGGTTGTCTCTGAGGTACAAAATAGGCAAGTTAAAACATTGCATTTGGCTTTAGAAGAGGCATTTCAAATTTCAAGATATTTATTGATAATGATAGGAGCCATTTGTTCTGCTGTATATAAAGTGTCAAACAGTGAGTATTACTTCTTTGACTCGCATTCACATGATAGTGATGGCATGTCTTCATGTGAAGGTAAATCTATAATAGTGCTCAACAGGAGTATTGATGACCTAGTGTCTTATATGTACAATATGTATAACAGCATGCATATTGATCTTGAAGTGCAGTTTGAAATTTTACCCATCTCAATCACTACGTTATATCATAGCTTTCCAGAAAATGATCCATTGCAGAGAAAGTTTTACAGAATGGATGAAAAGCTAACAGCAGAGATAAATTCAAAATCTAAAATCAAAACCAGGAAAACATATATGAGAGAATACATGAAGAAAAAGAGACAGAATGAAGAATTCAAATATGTTGAAAGAAACAAAGATGCCAAGGCCAAACAAATGAAAAGACAAGTTTGTGAAATAAAAAAAGAAAGAAAATGAAAGGGAAACAATTGCAAGAAAGTTGAAAAGGCGAAATGTAGAAGTGAGAGGAAAAGAAAAAGAACTGGATAAAGCTGCAAGGAAATTGAAAAGACAAGATAATGAAGTTAATGAGAAAGAAAATGAAAGGGAAACAACTGCTAGAAAGTTGAAAAGGCAAAATGTTGAAGTGAGAGGAAAAGAAAAAGAATTAGATAAAGCTGCGAGGAAGTTGAAAAGGCAAAATGTTGAAGTGAGAGGAAAAGAAAAAGAATTTGATAAAGCTGCAAGGAAGTTGAAAAGACAAAAGAATGAAGTTAAAGAGAAAGAAAATGAAAGGGAAACAACTGCAAGAAAGTTGAAAAGGCAAAGTGTTGAAGTGAGAGGAAAAGAAAAAGAATTAGATAAAGCTGCAAGGAAGTTGAAAAGACAGAATAAAGAAGTTAAAGAGAAAGAAAATGAAAGAGAAACAACTGCAAGAAAGTTGAAAAGGCAAAATGTTGAAGTGAGAGGAAAAGAAAAAGAATTCGATAGAGTTGCAAGGAAGTTGAAAAGAAAAAATAATGAAGTAAAAGAAAGAGAAAATGAAAGAGAAACAAGTGCACGAAAAATAAAACGACAAAATGTAGAAGTAAAAGTAAAAGAAAGAATAATGGATAAGTCTGCAAGGAAGTTGAAAAGATTAAATATTGAGGTAAAACAAAAAGAAAATAATATAAATAGAATTTCAAAACGAAAACATAGGGAAAACCCTTTCGTTCTTGAAAAACAACGATTAAAAATACAAGCTAGAAGAAATGACTTTTCTTATAGACAATATGAAAGATTGAATAATAGACAAAGGAAACAAGACAAAAGAATAAATGAAGAAAATTGTAATGAAGAAAATGAAAGAAATAGACAAAGGCAGTTTGGAAACTACTTACAGGATTGCATCCAAAAATTTCATGAAAAGATTAAACATGGTCCAGTTTTTGTATGCTCATGTTGTCATCAAACATGGTTCAAAGAAAGTGTTTTAAAGGTGGAAAACACACATATGGATGACACAACTAAAACTAGATATCTTACTGGTATTATTTCTGTTGGAAATGCAGAATGGATTTGCAATACTTGTTATTCAGCTGTAAGAGAAGGAAAAATCCCCAAATTGTCTGTTTTAAATGGAATGACATGGCCACCTAAGCCAAAAGAATTGGATTTGTTTCCATTGGAAGAAAGATTAATATCACTTAGGATACCCTTCATGCAAATTAGAGAGTTGCCAAGAGGTGGACAATATTCTGTGAAAGGAAATATTGTGAATGTTCCTGTGGATATTCAACCTACTGTAAATAGCTTGCCTAGAAAGATGGATGAAAATATCACAGTTCCTGTGAAGTTAAAGAAAAGGTTGTCTTACCAAAAGTGTGATTATCATGAAAATGTACGACCATCAAAAGTATTGATGGCATTACATTGGCTTTTGAACAACAGTGACTTTTATAAGAATGCCAACATCAATGTTGATGATAGATGGTTTCAAGAAATTACATCTTCAGCAAATGAAATCGTTGAAGAATTCGTGCAAACACAGACGAGAAAAGATCAAAATATTGATAATCTTGATACAGATGATGATGATGATGAATTCTGTGAAGTAGATGGAGTTGATAGGGATGGTAATTGTGATACTCTGTTAGATGATGCTTCTCGAGACATGAATCAGATATACACCTTTGCTCCAGGAGAAGGACAACGTCCGCTTAGTTTATATCAAGATCAGTCTGCAGAATATTTATCGTTTCCAACAATATTTTGTGGAAAGGGAAGATTACAAGATAATGAAAGACAAGTTCGTGTCTCATATGCAGATATAGCTAAATGGGAATTGAGAAGTGTTGATAGACGTGCTGCCCAATCTGTTCCAAATTTGTTTTTCAAGTTGAAAAAAATACAAATGAAGCAAGTTACAGACAAATGCAACCTTGCACTTAGGAAATGCAAAACCAAAGGAAAATCCATGACAGCAAATGAAATGAAAAATCCTGAAAATGTGAGTAATCTTGTTAGACACAATGAAGGTTTCTTTGTCTTCAGACAGTTACGAAATTCACCTGCATATCTTGAAACTAGAAAAAAAGATGTATTTGCTATGATCAGACAATTAGGTTTACCAACATGGTTTATGTCATTATCTGCAGCTGATACAAGATGGAATGATCTCATCAGAGCACTTGGAGTGTTAAATGATGGAAAGGAATACAGTGATGAACAAATTGACAGTATGTCATGGTTTGAAAAATCACAATTGGTACAAAAGGATCCTATTACATGCACTAGGTACTTTGATCACAGGTTCCGCATGTTTATGAATTCAGTGTTGAGAAGTGACCACCATCCAGTTGGCATTGTAAAAGACTTCTTTTATAGAATTGAATTTCAGCAGAGAGGGTCACCACATGTTCATATGATCGTTTGGATAGAAAATGCTCCAAAATATCATGAAAATAATGAAAATGAGATACTAAATTTTGTGGATAATTACCTTAAATGTGAAAAGAATGAAGAGGAGGATTTGACAGGCTTACAAGTACACAAACATTCACAAACATGTAAAAAGAGAAGTAAAGCTGTATGCAGATTTGGCTTTCCCCTTCCTCCTCTTAAAGAGACTTTGATTTTGGAGCCACTAGAGTCTGATGTTGACAAATTTAAGAAAATGTATGATGATATTCAAAAACAGCTAAATGATATGAAAAATGGATGTGATTTGTCCTATGAGGAGCTCCTGAACACAGTATTAAAAATATCCGAGGAAGATTACATGAAATGTATAAGAAGTTCACTGAGAGGTCCAAAGGTTTTTCTAAAGAGAAAGCCATGTGATATGAGGGTAAACTCATACAACAGTGTTGTTCTTGATGCTTGGAAAGCTAACATTGATATTCAGTATATTTTGGACCCATATGCATGTGCAATGTATATTGTTTCTTATATAAGTAAATCTCAAAGGGGGATGAGTGATTTACTTAACAGAGCTGCAAAGGAAGCTAGAGAAGGAAATCTTGACATTAAAAGACAGGTACGCCATATTGGAAACCATTTTCTCAACAGTGTAGAAGTTGGAGCACAGGAAGCAGCATATTTAGTATTACAAATGCCAATGACCAAGGCATCAAGAGATGTTGTTTTTATCAACACAAGTCCATCAGATAATCGAGTAATTCTCATCAAAACAGATGCTGAATTGGAAAAGTTAACTCCAAATTCTACAGATGTTGAATGTAGCAATGTAATTAAGCGATATGCAAAACGCCCAAAACAGCTTGAAAACTGGTGTTTAGCTGATTATGTCTCACAACTAGATGTTGTATTCCCTAAAGATAATGAAAAAGAGTTCACTGCAAATGAAGTGAATGATGATGATGATGATCAGGACAAAATGTCAGATGATGAAGATAATTCAAGTCTTGATTTTAGTGAAAGTGATACACTTGTTACTCTGAGAAATGGCATAAAGATCAGACGACGAAAAGTACCTAGGGTAATTAGATATGTGCGGTTTAATATCAAAACTGATCCAGAAAATTACTATAGGGAAAAACTAATGTTGTTTTTGCCTTGGAGAGATGAATCTGTTGATCTAATATCAGGAACTGACACATTTGAGAAGTCATTTCATCTGAAGAAGTCTTTTCTTACACATAAGGTCAAGGAATATGAATTTAATGCTGAACAGCTTGATGCAGCTTTGCAAATGGCAACTGATGATTTTTCAGAAGCTTTTGATGAATTGGCACCAAATGCTCAACAGAAAGAAGCAGAAGATGAAAGCGAGGGAATTATTGAATCTGAAAACTTTGTTCAGTTTAATCCTGAAAGACCTATTGAACAGAGACAGTATGATATAGGATCAGATATTGGCATTCCATCTACAAGACAAATAACTGAAGAAAGTTCTGTTAGATTACCAGACAGTGAATACTTGAAACTGCTAGGAAGTCTAAATGTAAAGCAGCGAGAATTTTTCAATCATGTCTTGCAATGGGTCAAAACAAAGTCGGAACCTATTTATTCATTTTTATCTGGGGGTGCTGGTGTTGGCAAATCTGTTTTGATTAGAGCACTTTATCAAACTCTGCACAGATATCTATGTTCTATAGAAGGTGAAAATCCAGATGATATAAGAATACTTCTTTGTGCTTATACTGGCAAGGCAGCATATAACATTGGAGGGGCAACTATAGCATCTGCTTTCCATCAAAAAATTAATCAAAGTCAACAAAGCTTGAACTGTGATGAATTGAATACTTTTCGTACAAAGTACCAAAACCTAAAATTGATCATAATTGATGAGATATCCATGGTTGGCAATAGGTCATTAGCACTCATTGATAGTCGTCTACAACTTCTTACAGGCATCAAAAAACCATTTGGTGGCATTAGCATCATAGCTGTTGGTGATTTCTTTCAACTTAAACCTGTGATGGACCGTTGGATCTTTCAGGATTTGAATCATGATGCTCAAGCTCTTGCAAACAACCTTTGGAAGGAACATTTTTGTATTTTTGAGTTGGATGAAATAATGCGCCAGAAAGATGATCTTGCATTTGCTCAACTTCTCAATCGTCTTCGCTACAATGCAATGACAGCGGAAGATATGAATGTAATACACAGATGCATGATAACGGAAACAAGTGACAATTATCCACACCATGCTCCTCATCTCTTTACACAGAATTCTAAAGTAGATGCATACAACAATCAGTTGATTGAAAAACTTGAAGGAGAAAAGGTGACAGTGAATTCAGTGGATACTGTCCTTAAGGATTATTCAAAGGAACTTAAGGAAAAGCTCCTCAGGTCACTATTGAAAGCAGATGATGTCAGCAAAACTGCCAATTTGATGCAAAATTTGATCCTTGCTGTTGGGATGATATATGATATCTCAGTCAATGTTGATGTATCTGATGGTTTAACAAATGGGTCATCATGTAAGATAGAATTAATTGAAAGGAGAATGGAAAGCATATCGAGACCAAGCATCGTTTGGGTAAATTTTTTTGACTCTGCTATTGGGAAAACAACTCGCAAGAAATACAAACATTTGTTTCATGATGGAATTACTGTGGACTGGACGCCAATTTTTGAAGTTCAGCGTTCTTTTGTATTGAATTACAATACTTTTCAGAGAATTCAATTTCCATTACGACCAGCTGCAGGGAAAACAGTTCATAAAGCCCAAGGCTGTACTGTTGATGAAATTGTTATTGATTTGTCTCAAACTAAAGTGAGGAAAACTCCCCATATTCACTATGTAGCACTAAGCCGGGTACGTTCAGTAGATCATCTTCATATCCTAAACTTCAATGAGCAGGCATTGGCTATGGATGAACAAGTGGTAGAGGAAATGGAAAGAATGAAAAGAGATGTACCACTACAACTTTGTTATGTTCCAGTATACCATGTTGATTTACACTCTTTCAAAATTGCTTTCAACAATTGTAGATCACTTCATAAACACTTCCCACAAATTCAAAATGAACCAAATATTGTTGCATCAGATGTAGTTGGATTCTCAGAAACAAGATTAACTAGTGCAGATATGGCAGAAAATTATCAACTACAGGGATACACTGCAGTATTTAACCATGAGGTCACAGATTGTCTGGATAGACGTCCACATCATGGGACAGCAGTATATGTGAAAAAAGATTACAAAACAACCTGCATCTCAAAGCTGAACAGTGGTTCTATGGAGTTCATCATGGTAAATGTACAATTAAACCAAAGCAGAGATATCCAATTTGTAGTTATTTACAAATATCCATCCTGCTCTTTTGGGGATTTTAAACGTCATGTGGAAATGCATATAAAGCCCTTGATTGATGACCAGAGAGACTTGGTATTCTTAGGAGATTTTAATTTTGATTTGTGTGCTGGGCATACAGACTTTCTAACATTTATGGAAAAAGGCTTTAACTGTAAACAAATTGTACGCAAGACTACTCATGACTCTGGTTCTAAACTTGACTTGATTTTTACAAACAAATCCCCATGTGGAACAGATGTGATTGAAGCATACTGGTCAGATCATAAAATGGTGTACTGTGCATTTGATAAGACTGAGCATTAAATAAAATGGGGCACCAAAGTAAAACATTTCAGAGGGAGATGCATAAGAATGCCCCCTCCCTCATCCCTTTGTCCCAGTCTTTTATTATACCTCTCAAAGTTTGAGGGGTATACTGGAATAAACATGTCCATCTGTCTGTGGCTTCTTCAATATTTGAAGTTTTTTTAATAAAGTTTTTTTTATGATAATGTCATGACAATCAAGAAAGGTAATTTAGACAAGATCAAGGTCACAGAGATCAAATGTGTACTGTAATTCTCACAGGTCATACTTTGGCAAAGGTTGTTCATGAAGAAGAGTAAATTCAGTCATCATATCTCATGCCATGATTGTTTGTATAAGGTCATTTGGTAATATGATGGTAGAGATTATTATGATTATTATGACCATCTAATTACAGTCATCACAACAAGATTCAGGCCATGGAAATGTGCAGTATAATTTTAGCAGAATTGCAGAGAAGTATATGTCTTTCCAAGTTGTCATGTTGGGGTATTAGTCCTATTCAGGCAGATTTAGTCGGAAGACATTGACCTGATAAAATATAAATTATTTTTTTATTATAATAACCTTTGAAAATATGAATTATGTACTTTATCATTGTTTTTAATGTAATAAACTTTTTTGAGATGAAGACATTTTAATTTTAAATCTGACTGTGTTTTGCATATTTAATTCTTATTGTATTGAATGTATATATGTTTACTTACTTAGGATTTTTTTTTTTAAATAAATAATTTATTTTTTTTGCTAGTACAAGTTGCACTGAATTTTTAATGCATATTTAAATCAAAATGATAAGGTCATATTGATTTCATACAATAATTATATTTACACCATATTACCAGTAGGTGTACTCTTGAAGTTTCAGCTTATTTATCAAGATTTGTGAAATTCTGAACTACTCTTTTCATTTACCATAATATATATTTTATATAATAAGGTATACTTTTCAATCTATTGTTTGTAAATTTGTTGACATTTTTTTTACTTCCATTATTGTTACATGTAATCCTGTTTATTCATTTTGTAGTTAATTTTATAGGATATATCTTTTCTTATTATGAATACATGTATTACCGTTTAGAGGGATAGTGTCTTACAAACAGTTTTGATGTTTCAGAAGTCATGCTCTATCTGCCCCTTTGTGACATTTGGATTATATTTTATACTGAAAACTAAATTTTTGTTGGAAGCTTCTCATTGTGATACCTTGTGATCTTTCTACAATACAAGGATATTCTTTCATAGACTACTGTAACAGTGATTGTGACTCTTAAAACCATGCCATAGCTGTGATTCGGACTCTTTTAAGCTCCTAGATGTGATTTTCAAAATCCCAGCAGTAATTGCCAGATATAATATATCACTGAAATGAATATGTGGCACCTTATAGAATATGGAAACCACCAAGTTGAATCTCTTCATTGACAGACTTGAAACTTTTGCTCAAATATTTTGAACATTTACTTCCATGGATATGTGCCAGTCAATTTTCTAATGTAACTTGCTAAAACTGAAAAAAGTATGATAAAACTGGTCATTCAAAATAGTAATTATACTTTATTTTCATCTTATTTGTATTGTAAACTTCTTTTTAAAACATGTTTCTTGAAAATAGCCTGTGTAAATAAGATATAATGCTTACAGTTAAATAATTACATTACACGGTAGATGCTTGATTGTGAAACCTGAGATCTGTTGATTTGAATGAATTCAACTACCATGGATCATGTAGATTTTTGTGATTATCAAGTGATTAATGATGTCTTCCATTAGGTCAACTTTATTATGTACAAAATGTATATTTTACAGGTAAGTATGGAAAGAGGGGGTCAATGGCCAGCCCATAAAGGGAGGTAAACCTACCTCTTTCAAAAAAATATTGGAAGAAATACTCTTAAATATAACTACATTTAGAATTTTAAAAAATTGTAGAAAAAAAGTTCCCATGATTTCTCAATATGATTCTTTGAGTCTGATCTTCTGGTATGGCAGTAATATAACCAAAATCATTGTTGTCATAATATTGAACAATTCAAAGGCAATTAAGATATGTATTTGGTAAAACCTTTAAAACTTTTTTTTCTCATTCACTTAAACATAATCTTTTCCTTTTTCGTTTTTCGTTGGGAAAGGTTATCAATATTGAGTGATTATATTTTTTTTAATAACCTTGAACACTATAAGACACACATGTATATTATGACTGGATTTTCATGTGAGCAGTACTTAACTTTTTCCACGCTCTTAATTTACTTTTCATTTATTATTTATTGTCATTTGCAATCTTTAACTTCAGATATAATTATACTGATTACTAAATACATGTTTTTGACTTATTACTTCACATGTAAATACATGAAAGTAGTTTAACAACAAATGAGTACTTAATATATTTCAATTTATATATATACTAGTCTCAAATGTGTCAACAAAATTTCATTTGTCCCAGCTTGTCTAACATTTTCTCTCAGTTTTTTTTTCTTTAAAATGTGACAAAGTGTTACCTGCAGATTGTTTCTTAAGAATTACATAAATTTCTTGTAAATGAATAAAGTATATTAACACAATCATAAACATGTGTTTTTCTTATTGACTGAAGGCAGCTAAATAACTGTTTGTACTTGTTAATAAAAAATACATAAATCTTCAAGAGTTGACAGGTCATTGAAAAAATCATTGTATGTTCATGTACCAAGCCTGCATACCTCTATATAAAGTTAATATTTGGTCAGTGAAATTCAAATTCAAGCATCCCCATATTGTGTGGATTTTATTCACTTATTACATAACACATGTGACATATGTGAAGCATGAAAGCCCTATAGTACCAACTGTTCAAAAGTTATGGCCAAAGTTAAAGGTTTTCAAAAATAGGTCAAACTCCTAGGACAAGGACAAAGGGTCAAAGTGGTTCATATCCAAAGGAAGGTCTTCTCACAAGGAATAGACCTATCAAATATTAAAGCCCTAGCACCAACCGTTCAAAAGTTATGACCAAGGTTACAGTTTTTCAAAAGTAGGTCAAACTCCAAGATCAAGGTCAAAAGGTCAAAGTTGTTGGTATCCAACATACGTCTTGTCACAAGGAATACACATGTGAAGTTTGAAACCCTAAGCACCAGTGTTCAAAAGTTATGGCCAAGGTTAAAGTCTCATTAAATTTTGCAAAACTGGGTAAACTCTAAGGTCAAATATGATGGTACTCAAAGAAATGTCTTGTCAGAAGGAATACACGTGAAACATGAAAGTCATAGCTCAAGCCAATCAAAAGTTATGGACAAGGTTCAAGATTTTGCAAACAGACAGAGGGATAGGGCAAAAACTATATACCCCCGAATCTTTGATACGGGGGCATAGAAATAACTCTCAAAGGAGGGGGTACTTGGTTATCTGTACTTATTTGTTTTTCTTACTCACATGCATAACACAAGCTTTTGGAGCATAAAAAAAACTAGAAACATTAATATTTTTACTTTGATTCGTCACCATTTTTTTTTTTCCTGTCTGATACTTGACTAGAGTTAGGCCATTCCAAGTTTTTTCTATGTTTAGCGTCCGCGTGCACTTTGGTTTTTGATACCCATATCAGAAAAAACAAACAAAATCAGGAGTCCTAAAATTGATTATTCTGGTCGAAATCTGAGAATTCTCTCAATTTCTCTAAATATTTGTCTACAATATGTTATATTAGGTATATTTTAAGAATTTAATGCTTTGATTTTGCTAAAGAATAGATCTTCCTACAAGAAAAATAGATAAATGAAATCAAATCCCTTGAATGACGTCATCTTTATGACTATGAAATATGTGTTTTATTTTTTTTTTTGCAAATAGGTAGGTAGGTTTTTGAATGATGGGTGGACGCTAAACAGAGGAAAAACTTGGAATGGCATTATGAACAGAAAAAACTTCAGTAGCTGCTTTACTTGCAGAAAATGGATCGGATTTTCATCAAATTCCTTTAATGCAATAATAAATAAATATTATAGAATTCCCTAACGTTATATGAGACAAAATGGCACTTGGTTGTGAAAAAACTTGATATTTTACTTAAATTGCATGCATTCTTCGTTACTTTTTATATGTAATAACAAGGAGTACAATATGTCACATGACTGACCGAGAAAAAACGCCAGGTTATTAAACTGGGTGAAATAAATCTCTCTCTCTTTCTGTCTCTCTCTCTCTCTCTCCATGTTTAAATATAGAATTCAAAATCATTCTTATTATTATCAAAGAAAAATCAAGGTCATGGCTGCAGGAACGGGGGGGGGGATTTTTGGTAGTTGATAGTTCCCCCAACTGAAAATATATGGGCTGTGCCCCCAAACTGAAATTGCTTCCTACAGCCCTGAAGATGGCTCTGTCGGAAATATTTCAAAATCCCTTTTCGTATTCTGAAGAGAAAAAAAATAAATAAATGGGGTTCTTTTAATTAATTTTGACAAAAATAATGTGGCGCTCTGCTAAATAAGTCGGGACGAATTCTTCACGACAAATTTATATAAAATTTTGTCATTGGGCACTTTGAAGTTTGTACATTTGGGCGCGTTCGTTGAAAATAGGGCTCTTTGACCGGGGCAGGTTCGTTGAGGGGCGATTTGGCTGGCTCTCCCACCAAATGACGTTTGTCTCCTTCCGCCACCACAAACAGAAGAAATAAATCCTAGGAAAATTAAAGAAAAATTCTAATTCAGGAATCTTTTTGTACTGAATTTTAAAAATATCCCATTTACCCTTTGAGTTGACTTTTTCCTTGTTCGATTACATACAGAATATTGGGGTTTTTTTTCTTCATACCTGTGGCTTATATTCTTCCGACATTTTTTCCCTCGCTAACGTCCCTAACCATCATGGCAAAACGACAAGCTGATCATGCTGAGGATTCAATTCAAGGCTACATCCATGAAGTCTCGCCAATTAAAATTAGTAGGGCCAACAATCCTTATTTCACAGGAAAAATTCAAGTTAATACAAACACATTCCAGAAAATCGTTTGTTTCGACCAAAGTAAGCATGCTGAATTGAAGAGCGCGAGTGCGGCCAGAACTCCTATAAAACTCTGCGATATAAGAAATGTGCCCAGCAGGGAGGACAGCAGTAAAATCGACATACTGGTCAACTCAAAGACAACAATAAACGCTGTCAGAACATTGGATTTTCGCTGCCACAACGATTCCAATTCTGAATGTTCCACTAAAACCATTGAAGAAATAGAATTAACTCCCGAGAAAAACCAAGTAAGTAAAGCATTTTTTAATGTGTGGAGGAAACTGCATTAAACTGATCATGGATAAATCATAATTCTTTAATGTTTTGTTTTCCGATATTTCGGTACTTTCTATTTTGCAGCGATCCATTTCTGTTTTTGTCCGGGTAAAAAATTCAAGTTGTTTAGTCCGTGCTTTGATCTAGTCTGCATCATCCAGACGTTTTCTTTTCTGTTGATCCTGGTAAGGTAAACACAAATGTGTGGATGATGCAGATTTCCTTACAGTGTCTAAAAGTTGTGGAAGAAACTGTCAAACTAAAATTTTTTCACTCATTTAAGCAGACTTTTGGCTTCCTGAAGTCCATATTTCGTCAGTCCCTAGACCTGCAACCAAGTTCAGATATTTTTGCCAATTCACAGAATCGTCACTGATTCCCATCGAAGTAACTACAAGCCCTATCCGATCAAAATTGCATGAATGTTCATTGTTGCAACTTGGGATTTACACTACTAGATTATTTAATAGTTTTAATGTGGAACTTTGCCTTAAGTACTTAAAACAACATTCGTTGAGATGAACTCTGTAATCTCTGATTTCTTATGGGTTTTTTTTTATTATTGTTCAATTTGTTACACCCTGGCATAACAGAATTGCCTCTTCGCAATGCAAGGGGTCCTGAGTCAACATGTTGCCATTGGACCCCTGGCATATTTCAGTAGATATTTTAGGGCTTGCTTCTCTCATTGAGAAGCACAAATCAGATTAAAGCTTTCATAAACAGATAATGTAAACAAACAGGACTCGGTTGACACCTCAAATGCATAGTTTCAAAAAGTTTATCATAGAATGACATAATGTGATTGATTGAGAGGTAAGAAAAACAATCAAGATTTGTAATTTTTCTGAAAGACGTAGCTTCAGTCAGCCCACAAATATTGAATGAAATATGCCGGGGATCCAACAGCAATGTGTTGATTCGGAACCCCTGGCATTGAGAAGATGACAGAATCGAAAAATAATTGGGACTGAGTTCTAGAGTTCTTTAAAAAAGAAAAAAAAGAAGAAGACTTGTGTAACGACACTTGCAATACATTTTGAAGATATTTAAAAAAAAACCTCTAACCTTTAAACCCTTTTCACTCATACACGCACTAATTCAAACAAAAAAATAAATTTAATTAATAAAATTATCAATAACTACTTAGCTACATGACAGTTTTGTTTAAAGTGTTCAATCCAATAAGTACATGTGTTAATTAGGTCTACTAATTTGATTATCAACTGAAAAAAGTTGTCACTTGATATGTAAACCAGTCTCAAGCCATCTCTATTCAATATCTTGACAGACATCCATCAATTGTACTAAGATCCACCCATTATTTTCATCTTTATTCATCAACAACAAATGGTCACAAACCAGGGTAATTTTCGCTCCTATAGAATTTAAAAAAAAAAAATAATGCAATAATCCTCAAAATTATAATATGTAACAACTATTAAAATTATTCAAAAGGTGTCATTTTTATACACTTATTGTGTGAAAACTATAAAAATTGTTTTAAAAAAAAAAGTAATTCATTGTAGAGAAAAGGGCCATAGATAACTTTTGGCACATCATCCTTTGACTTACGGATATGTCATATAAATACGCAGGTCATATTCAAATTTTATCATGGTTCGTTTATTTTGTCAGAGTTATGCCTCTTGAACTTGGAGAAAAAAAAAAGATTTTTTTTTAAATCTCTGCTTACATAAAACTTTTGCAGAAATATATGTACAATGTTCAAATTGCGTAGGCAGGTATTTTATCAGAAAATACAGGTCAAGTTTGAATTTGGTCCTTGTCCAATGATTTTGAACAGTTGCCAACCTCAAACTTGGAGAAGATTTAACAATTCGCAATTTCTAATCATTATCTCGCCTATAAATGTGCAATTTACAATTTGAAATAGTGCTGCCTCTGGGGAGTCATTCTTAATTTCTTAGCGATACGACACACAGTTTTACAATTTGAAATAGTGCTGCCTCTGGGGAGTCATTCATAATTTCTTAGCAATACGACACACAGTTTTACCTAAAATGTTGCAAACCAAAAGATTAAGTTGACTCCACAGCAACAGGTGTGGAAATAAGAGGCCAGCTCGTTAACAAACAAGATCTCATTGTTGGAGATGCAACAGGAACAATTAAAGTTACCCTATGGGATAATCTAGTAAACAAATTGAATAAAGATACCACATATCACTTTCAAAATTTGTCCACCAGAATCTTTAATGATTCCAAATTCCTAACAGCTACCAAAACATCACAAATGGTGGAAACAACCGCAATGGAATCTGTTGCTACCTTGCCTCCTATTGAAACATTATCTAAACTTAGTGGAAGAATAACGCAAGTAGCGATTACAAGAAACATTGCCTGTGGCAGCTGCAAAAAAAAGAATAAATATAAATTTATCGGATTCAGTTGTAAGATGTCCTTCTTGCAGCATGAAACAAAAGGTTACAGATACCATTTCTACACTTTTATGCAACCTTAATATTGACAACATCAAGCTCACAGTATTCAATCCTCAGATTGTCAACTTCCTCATCGTCAATAACCAAGAAGACTTGAAAGACGACCCGGATCGTATTGAAGATTTCCTACTAAACCAAGAAAAGATCTCTGTGGAATTCGGAAAGAATAATGTCATCGAAAACATACAAATCGAACATTAGGACTTGGTCATAGTCTGTATTTCTTAAGAAACTTATTGGATAATGGATGCCTGTTCTTCTGCCCACCATGGCAATCATTTATCACATGCTAAATTTGTACATTTGTTTATTACAGAAATTTTGGGAAAAACATTTGAATTATTTTTTTATTTTGCAATTGTGAATGGGATATAAACATTATTATTTCATGTTCTGCACACAGCAAAAAAAATTTCATTTTTTTTTATTCTGCACACAGCAGACAAAGATAGGATATGAAGCATTTTTATTCTGCATACAGCAGATGAATACGGGATCTGAAACATTTTTAATTTCTTTATTCTGCAAAAAGCAGATGATTTTGGAATATAAACATTTTAAGGTATTTCCATCCTCCTGTAATATGATATGTATTTGCAAAAAACTGTTATTAATCTGAATTCATAACCAATAGAAAAATATCTCTTGTAACAGTGTTTTTCAATAGATGTATGGCAAAAAATTGTCAAGTGAAATAATTGGAAAAATGTATGTTTTCCTTATTTAATCTATAATTCAAGTTTAAAAAAATTTCTTAAGGGCAGTAACTCTTCTCATATCTTCATTCAGACATTTTCTTTATTGTACTGTAAAATGATTTCCATGATGTGCACAATTCACACATATTTATAAACTAGCAATTACTTTTGAAATTTCAGCATCAGAATAATGTATTTGAACAAAATCTGCTCCCATTAGTTAATTTAAACAAATTCATTGAAAATAAATAGTTTATCTACTTTGAATCATTAAAATGGTGAGGATGGAAATACCTTAATTTCATTATTCTGCCAACAGCAGATTTTCTATGTTCCTTCCACTGCAGATGCTAGTCAATATTAAACAAAAATGTGTAAATCATTTTACTATTGTTGTTTTCTTCTTTAAGCACCTTAATATACCTCATTTTATATGTGTGAGGTTACTCAGATAAGGCCACTCCAAGTTCTCCCTATGTTTAGCATCAATGGATGCATTAGTTATCAGGTTATAAATTTAAAAACAAACACAAGTAATAATAATGAGAAAATGCAAACATTTGCAACTTGATTTACTCGAGAGATCAGTGTACCAAAAATATTTAATTTTAATAAACTTGTAGTTTACATTTGTTGCAATGCAAGGAAAATTTCAGATAACAATGAGAAATTCACAATTATTTTACCCCCACTCCAAAGGAGAGGCATATACTATTTTACCCTTGTGTGTCTGTCCATAACAAATTTTTGTCAAAGTTTTCTTAGCAACTACTCATCACAGATGCTTTAAATTTTAGTACACTCTTTGTCTAGTCATGCCATAAGGTGGAATTCATTATTAGCTCACCTGAGCAGAAGGCTCAAGTAAGCTTTTTAGCTCACCTGAGCTGAAAGCTCAAGTGAGCTTTTCTGATCACATTTTGTCCGGCGTCCGTCTGTCCGTCTGTCTGTCCGTCTGTCCGTCCGTCTGTCCGTCTGTCTGTCTGTAAACTTTTCACATTTTCAACTTCTTCTCAAGAACCACTGGGCCAAATTCAACCAAACTTACCACAAAGCATCCTTGGGTAAAGGGGATTCAAGTTTGTTCAAATGAAGGGCCACGCCCTCTTTCAAGGGGAGATAATTAGGAATTAGTGAAAAAATAATGGCATCATTTAAAAATCTTCTTCTCAAGAACCACTGGACCAGGAAAGATGAAACTTATGTGGAAACATCCTCAGGTAGTGTAGATTCAAGTTTGTTCAAATCATGACCCCCAGGGGTAGGGTGGGGCCACAATGGGGGATCCAAGTTTTACATAGAAATATATAGGAAAATATCTTTAAAAATCTTCTTCTTAAGAACAGTAAAGCCAAGATTGGTCATATTTATATGGAAGCATCCTCAGGTAGTGAAGATTCAAGTTTGTTCAAATCATGACCCCCGGGGGTAGGGTGGGGCCACAATGGGGGATCCAAGTTTTACATAGAAATATATAGGAAAATATCTTTAAAAATCTTCTTCTTAAGAACAGCAAAGCCATGATTGGTCATATTTATATGGAAGCATTCTCAGGTAGTGTAGATTCAAATTTGTTCAAATCATGTCCCCCGAGGATAGGGTGGGGCCACAATGGGGGATCCAAGTTTTACATAGAAATATGTAGGAAAATATCTTTAAAAATCTTCTTCTTAAGAACAGCAAAGGCATGATTGGTCATATTTATATGGAAGCATCCTCAGGTAGTGTAGATTCAAGTCTGTTCAAATCATGACCCCCGGGGGTAGGGTGGGGCCACAATGGGGGATCCAAGTTTTACATAGAAATATATAGGAAAATATCTCTAAAATTTTCTTCTTAAAAGCAGTAAAGCCATGATTGGTCATATTTATATGGAAGCATCCTCAGGTAGTGAAGATTCAAATTTGCTCAAATCATAACCCCCGGGGGTAGGGTGGGGCCACAATTGGGGATCAAAGTTTTACATAGAAATATATAGGAAAATATCTCTAAAATCTTCTTCTTAAAAGCAGTAAAGCCATGATTGGTCATATTTATATGGAAGCATCCTCAGGTAGTGAAGATTCAAATTTGTTCAAATAATAACCCCCGGGGGTAGGGTGGGGCCACAATTGGGGATCAAAGTTTTACATAGAAATATATAGGAAAATATCGTTAAAAATCTTCTTCTTAAGAACAGTAAAGCCATGATTGGTCATATTTATATGGAAGCATCCTCAGATAGTGAAGATTCAAGTTTGTTCAAATCATTACCCTGGGGATAGGTTGGGGCCACAATGGGTGATCAAAGTTTACAGAGGAATATATAGGAAAAAGTCTTTTTCTCAAGAACAGAAAAGCCGTGATTAGTCAAATTAATATGGAGGCATCTTTGGGTAGTGTAGAATGAAATTTGTTCAAATGAGGGCCCCCGGGGGTAGGGTGGGGCCACAATGGGGGATCAAATTTTTACAAATGAATATATGGGGAAAAAATCTGCTGCTCAAGAACAACAAAGCCATATGTTATATTGATATGAAAGCATCATCAGGTAGTTTAAAATTCAACACCCCCCTCCCTGTAAACTTTTCAATACTGTACTGATTTTTGCTTTTTTTCCTAGCCAATGTGCTCAGGTGAGCGATGTGGCCCATGGGCCTCTTGTTTAGTACATGTATGCTAGAATACTGTACATAACTTTAATTTTACAAATGAATGTTTTGCTAAATTTTTCTTTTGGACATAAAGAATGGAGGCGTACAAGACGAGGACAATCCCCCACTCTGAGAAAAGACATTTCTTAATTCTTAGGTTCATGATGTTACATGTATATTTCACAAAAATTGTATTGTCAATATCATCTTTTACACATTTGCTTCTTTTATTTAATTGAATAACTTATTGATATGTATTTTTTATTTTCAATTATGAAGGTATGTGGAAAGAAAAAAAAGAGCCAAAGGCTCAAGTGAGCTTTTCTGATCAAAGGGTGTCTGGCGTCTGCCATCTGTAAACTTTTTCGACTTCTTCTCAAGAACCGCTGGGCCAATTTAAAACAAACTTGCAAATGTGACAAAGCATCCTTGGGTGAAGGGGATTTTATTATAAGTTTGTTTACAGGAGTGCCATGCCTTCTTTCAAGGAGAGATAATTATAAGTGTTCATATGAAAATTTAGTGGCATCTTTAAAAATCTTCTTCTCAAGAACCACTAGCTGGGCAAGAAAAGATGAAAGTTATGTAAAAGCTTCATTACAAATTACATTACATACATGTACATTCAAGTTTATTCATATCATAACCCCCCGGGGGGGGGGGAGTGTTAGGGGGGCCACAAGAGGGGGGCAAAGTTTTATGTAGGAATATATGGGAACTGTCTTTAAAAATCTTCTTCTCAAGAACAGCTTTGCCACTACTAGTATTAGTCATATTAATTCAGAAGCAACCTTAGGTAATGTAGAATCAAGTTATCCTCAGGTAGTGTAGATTCAAGTTTGTTCAAATTATGGGGGTGGAGACACAACAGAGGGTCAAAGTTTCGCATAAGAATATATAGGAATCATCTTGAAAAAAATCTTTTCAAGAACAGCAAAGCCATGATTAATCATTTTATTATAGAAGCATCCTCAGGTAGTGTAGATTCAAATTTGTTCAATTTTAGGATGGGTAGGGTGGGGACACAATGAGCGACGAGCGTTTTACATAGGAATACATTGGGGGGGGATCTTTAAAATTCTTCTGTTAAAGAACAGCAAAGCCATGATTAGTAATATTGATATGGAAGCATCCTGAGGTGGTAAAAATTTAAGTTTGCCATTGACATTACTAACAACTTTTTTAAATGTAACTCTTCCTTGAACTTTGAAAATTGTAATATATCTCACAGCAGGGGATTGTCCTGTATGCTCTCTTTCTTTACTGTTTGAACAAAATGGGTTAACTATGGGGTAGATGTAAGTCAATGAATTTCAGATTATGAACTTTAAAGAAATATCACCCCCCTCCAAGAAAAAAAAAATAATAATAAAGATTTTTTTTTACAATACTGGTGAAAGAAAAAAGAAATATCAAGGGTTGTATATCAGGGAAACTTACAGCATCACCATATTATGAATTCCAACTTAACAAAAAAATTTTAGTGAAAAAGGGGGGGGGGTGCGGAACAACCCAAAAAAAATCACACTGTCTTTCACATGGAGGGATGAAATGTAACTGCAATGTTAGTACTGGAAGTGTGAATATTTCAAAATGGGAGTATTTGGGGCATGCCCCCTCCCCTGGAAATTTTAGGATTAATGTAATATTTTGCATTCTGAGAGCTAATCTAAGTACATTTATTTTATAATAAAATGCAGTATGCTTACTTTATCCTCAACTTAATGTATATTTAATCAGGAAATTTTCTGTAACTAAAAGGGGAAATTTGACATTTTATTCAGAAGGTGAAAGGATAATAAATTCTGTGGACCAGCTGTTGCGTTTTAGATATGTTCCCTGTGACTGAAAGAGAAAGTAGACCTATCTT